TCACTATGAAATGGGCTCTGTGGAGACAGACATCCTCCTCCTTTCTTTATCTCTGCTGGTGACTCCTTGTGTCAACTCACTCCAGTGGCTGGCAGACCATCTGTGTGGTGGCATCTAGCCACCTTCATGGCAGCCATGATTATTATGGTGGCTGTGGCGGGCCACCCACATGGAAGAGAGGTTTTTGTCCTGCTCCCTGGTGCTGGCAGTGTGCCTGGTTGTGGAGACTGTCTGGTCCCTTTCTCCATACCCTGGGTCCCTGAGTGGGCCCTGAGGTGCTGTCACAGGGTGCCTGGTTGTGGGAGGGAGGTTTGGTCCCCTTCTCCATGCCTCCAGCCTTTGGGCAGGCCCTGATGCACTTTCCCAGCATGCCTGGTTGTGGGAGGGGGTCTGGCCCCCTTCTCTATGCCTCAGGTCCTCAGGCAGAATCCTAGGCACTGTCACAGTGTGCCTGGTTATGGGAAGGGAGTGCGGTCCCTGGCTGCTAACCCCGGTTACCAAGGCAGACCGCTAGGCATTGGTGGCATGCCTGTATATTGGAGTGGGATGCAGTCCTTGGCTCCAATCCTTGGGTTCTTGGGTGCGGCTCTGATGTGCTGGTGGTGTGTGGTTGTGGGTGTTGTTACTGGCCCCTTGCTCCATGCCTCATGTCCTATGGTGGGGCCCAAGGCATTCATGGTGTGCCTGACCCAGAACTAAGTTTTTGTCCTTTGCTTGCTTCTAACCTGGGGAAAGTTCCTGTGGGAACCAGAACTTTAGCTGTGTGCTTGAGGTAAATTGCTGCTTTGCTGCTGTTTCCCTAGGGAAGACTTTTTGTGCAGCTCAGGCTTTAATGGTTGACCTTATAGGTACTTCTGGCCCTCCAGACAGTGCACCTGGGTCGTGTAAAAACCCTGATCTGGGCCTGAGTTCATTGAACTGCACCCCATGCAATTCTGCATTCCTGACCATTCTCCTGTGAGTGGTCCTGTGCTCATTGGGGGCCAGATTGGCTGTCCTTGCTGTGTCCCAGTGTTCTCCCAGTGGGTCCATCTCCCCAACCACCCATGCTCCAAACACTTCCCCTGGGACAGGCCCTGTACCAGTCCCTTGTGGTGACTCACTAGTCTGAGTGGCTCCCCTTTTTCAGCTGTTCTGGCTTCTCAGTCCTGTGTGGGTCCATGGGAACCCTGTTTGTGATCTTGCTGTCCTGGGGGCCACCAAAGTTCTCTTCTCCCCTTCCACCTCCAAATAATTCCATCTAAAGGGCACAGCTGCGGCTTCTGCCAGCTCCTGCTCCATGTGCTCCAGCATTAAAGCAGCCATGGCCCAAAACACTGAGAGCAGTTTTTTCTTTCTCTCTTCATG